AACTCGGGTCGTTTCACTTTGAGGATCCTTTATTTGAAATCCTAAGCAAATTAAGTATCAAAAATAAAGAATTGACTTGGAAAGGGATTGATTTTCTTTTTAACTAACTAATTGACAAAATTTAAAAGGATGCAAAATGAGTAAATAATTTTTAGATTTTTAGTTTATAAAATGGATATGAATGAAATAAATAAAGAGAATTAGCAAGTGACAGGAAATGAAAAAGCAATCCTCTAGCACAATGATTAAGGTTATCATTACTTCAATTAATTTGGGAGTTAACTAAATTCAAAAGACTCTAAGGGCCACCCCTTAGACTCGGTTTAATTAGAATAATCAACACCAAGCCACCTTGCATATTAATTACTCACAATTAAACTGTTTCAGCACAATTAGCCAAAGAGAATCAAAGAAAAGCAATTAATATTTTTAGTTCAATAATCAAGCCACCTTGAATTATCACTGAATGTTCACAATAATTTCAAAACATAGTTTGACCCAGTACAATGTAAAGAAATTAAAGCTAATCACAATATAATATTAATGCTAATCAACGATTCTAACAACTACAACCAATATCAATACGAATATAAATCATCACAACACATTCAATCATTATAAAATTCATTCTAAGACCTAGAAATCACAATTACAATGAAAGAAGTAAAGATTGGAAGAGTTGAAACTCCCCTTTAAAGCTCTAAGTTCAAGCCATAACCATTGTTCTAGAGAATTGGAAGGATTTAGCTGCTCCTAACCATCACCACAGCTCCACCAAAATTCCAATTCGGTTCAGCCATGAAGAACAATGAAGATGGAATCTGGAGGAGTGATTTCGCCGTAAAGCTATAGTCCTTCGTTCTCTCTTCCTCGCCGCTGGTCCTCTTTTCTTTTTCTTCTGCCGCCAGCCTGCCTCCAGCTCGTTCAGCGTCTTCCTTGTGCTGCTCGTGGGTTTCCCCCTTATTTCCGCGCCGCTTCCTTGTGTTTGAAGAAGAATTATAGTATATTAGGTTGGGGGGGAACGTTGCGTTTTGCTCCCCCTTTTATTATTATATATATATTTTTAATTTATTTTTCTTTTATCTTTTATTTTTCATTTTTTTCATTTTCATTTTTATTTTTAAATCTTCTAAAAACCTGCAAACAAAATTTAAGAAAAAGGTAGCATTAATTGTCCTTAAAAATTAATTAATCATAATTAAATCAAAATATGACAATTTTGCCCCTATAAAATAATAATTCAAAATAAATTAAATTAAATCAAGTAAGGCAAAAAGGGACCAATTAGGCTGACAAAACTCATATAAAAGATACCAAAATATATAAAAATAATTGAGTTTGTCAATCCTGTGCATCAAAAATAGAATTTGACCACGATCCATTAAGGTGTTTAGTGACGACTTTCCCAGTTATCTGTAATTTGGTATTTAAAGATGAGAGTCCTAACGTAGCCCGTTGATGAGTTGAAAATGAGTGACTTTACCTGAACTAAAACTTTGAATATCAAACTATGTTAGCTTGGTTTGTTCTAGCTAACATCCTGGCTTTTTAATAATCAAGAATTTAGGTGGTATCATATATAACTGATGATCAGGGAAATATATTTGGACAGTGTTTTATACTTCACCCCTCGAAGCTAGTAGAACTAGTTAATTTGACAATCATTATACCGTTGAGATTTTGTTTTTGCTTCTTCACGCCGTTGAGATTCAATGAATGAAAGGGACCCGAAAGATTCTTCATGTTGCCTGGCCCCCGCTGCTTTAATTTTTTTTCAATGAAGTTTTGAAGCTTTTAATGAAAGATCCGATTTTAATTAAACGTACACCACTCGTTAAATATAGCGGAACAGCTCTCCTGGCCATAAAAAGACAAACCAACCTGGCGCACTTGGCTTCTGGTTTTAAAAATAATAATAAAAACGAAGGTACACGATAGTGCTTCCATTAATTTTAATTAATTAACATATTTAAATGAGATTATCAGTACTATTTTGTCTCTTTCTTTTATGTACTTTTGTCGAGGAGACACAGAAATGCGGGTTCCACAACCCCAGGAGCCAGCTTTTTTCAGATTCTCCAATTTTATTGCCAACTTGGAGTCATGCAGTGAGTGACAGTGATGAAGCTTGGTGACATATGACAACATTTGACTTTGCCACAATGCATGTTACGCCTCACCATTTTCTTCTTATTTTGAGTATAAAAATTAATTTTATAGAAATTAAATTCACATCATTGACGATTAACTCTAATTAATAAGTTCATCAAGTGGCAGGCCAAGGGGATCCTATACACAAGCACGTGGCCATGTCGCTTTTGACTTGACTTTTGACTAAGGCGTATTCTTTTTGTACGGTATGAGTAGCTTTAATTTTTTTTTTTTTTGGTTTTGTGATTCATATGAAAAAGATAGGAGTGAGAGTTAATATTTTTTAGCACTATCATATGATTATTTTTCTCTCCACCCGCATGTCATATATATAATGCACTTATTAATGTCCCATGATATAATTATCTGATTATCAATCACCACACAAAAACATCAAATTAGCAATGAAATTAAATTTTTTCCGTTACTAATTCCACCGTCACTAGATAATTAGTAACAGAATTCAAAATTCCGGCGCTAATTAGTGACAGATATCCCACAAAAATTTTGTCACAAAATAATAATGGATCAGTGACAGAATTCTGTCACAAATTGGTGACGAAAATTTTCGTCACTAATCTGTTGCTAAATTTTTTTTTTGTAAATTTAAAAAATCACATCATCACCAGGTTTATTACTATGAGCCGTCACGTCATCCATGGCTGCCACCTCACCAACTCCTCTCTCTACCCCATGTTGCCACGTCATCACCATGTGTTCATCACTGGATGCCACCTAACTCCTCCTCTCTCCCATGCAGCCACGTCATCATAGCATCCATGTCATCGGCTTGTATCCATCATTATGAGCTACCACATCATTACCATGTCACAAATTGAGCCAATTTGTGCAGAAGTATTGGTTCGAACCTGAGATCTCCTACGCGTGTTAAACCTTTGCCAATTGAGCTGAGAAGCACCTGCGAAATTCTTTTACAAAAATAAATAAAATATAATATTTCTAATAAAAATACAAATATATATAATAAATATTATATACATAATTTAATATATATTATATAATTTAATATATCATTAGTTATTTGAATTTAATTTTTATATTTTAGTAAAAAAATTTCTAGTAATTTATATTTCTATTCAAATATTTAACAAAATAATAAGTATAATATATATTTTATTTTTATTTTTATTTTATTTTATAATATTTGTATTTTTTAATTTTTATATAATATATTATTTAAAATTATCATATATTATATTTTATTTTAATAATAAGTTAAAAAATAATTATTATATATTTATATTATATTTTTTTGTGACAGATAATGACGGAATTGCGACAAAAATTAGTGACGAAAAAATTCCATCACTAATCACTTAAAACAAAATTAGCGACGAACTTGTGATAAAATTTAGCGACGGAATAGATTCCATCACTAATCCGTCTCTAAGTTAGTGACGGAATAAAATTCCGTCACTAATCATTTACTAATTTAGTGGCACAAATTTTCAGTCGCTAATTTTAGTAACATAATTTGTGAGGGATTAGTGACGGAATAAAATTTCACTAATACCATGTTTTTTTTGTAGTGAATATAATATTAGTGCTTCTTTGTTGTTGATGTACTAAATAAGGACAGATAATTGTGATAATTATATCTAATACAAGAACCCTAGCTTGACTTTGTAATCTTTTTTACTACTTCCAGTCAAACAAGGTTTTATAATTAGAACCAAAGATAATACTTTGAGTGGATCTAAATTCGGAATGTCATGTTTATAAACAGTGTCCTTCACTGTAAATTCAAAAGTCTTTGGTTTTAATTTTCCTCATATATAAATATTCCATGCCCCATATAGGTTATCTTGATATCATCACGGCTAAAGAAACTAGGTCAAATCTCGCCTCTTATATAATCCATCCTTTCGAAATCATAGCAAGTGATTTCGGCCCTACCAGAACAAAAATCATATAGAGTCGTAACAAATCTTCAAAAATATCATTACAAGATATATAGAAATGTTTTCCTTTACCCTTGAGTTTGCGGCTAGGCAAGGATAAAGATTTTGGAGATTGAACAGAAGCCATTCAATTGTATATAACATTAATAGTACACCTCCATAAGTGGAGAAGGCACAGGAGATCGAATCTCCATGCTCTTGGGTCCATTTTGATGATGCACTACTCGATCTGCTATTCTTTATTAAATATTAGCAGAGCTTAATTTCTCAATGGCTTATCCCCACCATGAAAGGCTACTATGCGCTAAGGACGATTTGAGCTCCGGCCTTCAAGCTTCCACCCTCAGTTTAACTATGTCCATAATTAACACTTGTCTGTGTCGTACTTGTGACTTTGAGAGTTTGTGACTGCCTAATTAAAGATCAGATACTCCTTACTTCCATATCGAATCACCAAACAAAGAAAGACAGGCCAGCACAACTGAACAAGAGGTGCAGATCAAAAGAGAGATATAAATGAAGTATAAAATAGTCAATCGTTGGGAAGATTTCCCATATAATTATGAAAAACGTAAAACTCACTCGCATGAGAGACCAGTCTTAGTGGAAGCTAGATTTCACAAACGTTCCACATTAAATTGGAGGGGGGATACACTCCACACATTTAGTCAACCGACATGATTAGTTATAACTTAAAAATATGAACAGGACATTTATATAGTACTCAACCGAGGTTATAAATACCCTAAGATCCCAGAACTTGTCAAAACATCATCTGGATTCACTTCTATTTCCCTAAACCCTAAGCCTTTCCCACTGCGACTCAAACAAAACCTTGAAGCTTGTTTCAATTCTTTGTTTATGGGTAAGGCCATTCTCAAATATTTAGCGACAGTTCTCATACTAATTGCTTGCCATGAAGTTGATATGACTCAGGGAAGGCAGATAAAGGCATTGAACCGACACTTTCGGATCCACAAAGACACGACCTTTTATAGTAATGTTCCTACATCAGCAGAGCTGTATGTGGAGTCACCTCTCTCACCAAATGACCACGTTAATGCAATCTCTAAGGATACAAATGGAGGCGTAAGTGCTTATCGACCAACACCACCAGGAAACAGTCCCGGGGTTGGTCATCGAAAATTTGGAGTGGAAAATGAAGATATAAAAGCAAAGGCGGGAATTCAGAGTCCTCCAGATGTTAAATATTCTTTGGCTGAAGGGTCTAAAACTGATTTTCGACCTACAGACCCAGGTCACAGCCCCGGGGCAGGGCATGCTGCTCATCAAAACAAGAATAATGGAGAGGGAGGACGGGTGCAGAATCAATCAGGTAATTAATTAATTGAGTCTTCGATAAAATTAGATGTTGCATGTACTTGAATTAATGTGTGTGTGACGTTTTCAATTTCGTTATGTATTAGTAGTACGCTTTTCGTATTCCTGCATGTTAAACCATGCTAGGCGTCATTTTAGACTCTATGTATTATGTTTTTCACCTATTGGTGTTGTTGCAAGTAAATGTGTGGTTCATCATTTTAAAACATATATAACAGTTTGGTGAAAATTTTATAAGTTTCAACGTCTAGCCGCAATAAGTATATTTTATGAAGACATTATGATTTGATCTGTAAGAAATCAATCGAGATTCGGGTTCATCAAGGCATAATAAATTTTCAGCAGTTAAGATAGTTAAGCACTGCTCCTTTTTTTCCTTGTATAAATATACAAGTACCTCCGTTTTCCAATAGAAATTGATAAATTAATAAACATGTCCTCTTAATACTTTAATTGATTTAATTGATGAAAAAGAAACAAAGAAAGAAAAGACGCAAAGGTGCTTTGAGATATTCTTAGTGTCTGAAGAATCTTGAAAAGGAGTCAGTGACTTCCAAAGTCGCAGCTTGTAAAAAGTACAAAAGGAACTGCTTAAAATATTGATAAATACTACTCATAAACAAAGAATCAAGTTGATCTACGAGAAAACAAACGAACTCATATTCAATTAGAACAGTCACTTTTAAAATCGTCCAAGCCAAATCATAAGGCAGCGCGTGCTAGACCTTCATCGTGAACTTTCGGCTGGGAAACACTAGCTGCGTTTTAAATAAGAACCTGTTTGCAATCCCCAGTTGCGAAGAATGCGGCTTATATATGCAATAAGGTTTGTTAGTGGTTCAAATGCTAAGTTGATACGAGAATCTTGTTTATGCCTATTCTCAATTATGCCATGCCATATGGATTTTGATGATAATAAAGTACTGAAGTTTTAATTATTTCTAATATGCTCGTATTCTATATTAATGAGAATTTTAATGGATATCTGTCAAAACAAAAATAGAGAACATATTCGAGAAACGCAAGAATACAGAAACAACCACCGTATAAACCATGAAGGAAAATTCAGGTGCTTAGGTGCTAGGTTGTTCTTGAACTATATTGATATATACGTCTCTGGCTCTCGAGAAGTTGAAAGCTCTTATTTGTGACTGAACAACATATATTCCCTGGCAGACTAATTTTTTTAGGTGGAACCAACATATTCTCAAGTCACATTGGACTTAACACTAATTTTTTTCAAGTTGGGACCAGTTAAGGAATAACTCTCTTATAAAATACGATTCTCAAGATTCGAACTTGTATTTTTTTTCTTACAGTATGAGGCTGCTACCGTCAGAACCAATATCTTGCTAGTAGACTAATTATCTATTAAAGAAATGGTTTGCATCATGTTAGCTGTCTGGCATTATTTCCCTTAATGAACTGCCCTATCTACATGCAACCACGTGAATGAGTCTATGCCTATACATAGCAATGTATATGTTTCTATAGATGGATGCGCCGGCGGTTCAATTGTCTCCTATTTATATATACTACCTCTTCCGATTATTAATATAAGAGCTAATTGACTAATTTGAATAGATTAAAAAAACCAGTTAAATTAGTTATTTATAATAAATAAGTGTTTTTTTCTAAACTATCATTGTTAATCAAATGTGTTGGTTAGAACTACTATTATTACAATCGCTACCTTAGAAAAAAATGGATAAATATAAAAGACAAAATAGATTGGGATCTTATATTTAGGACCAAAATAAAAATAAAACAAAATCTTCTATTAAACACCGGAGGTAGTATTAATTTATATAAATTTGTTTTCTTTTTTGGTATCGTCGACTTTATTGATCTTGTGTACCCAAGTACACGATGCAAGCAGAGCTCATAATGTCGAAAAATGAAGTCATTATATGCAAAAGCAAAACCCATAAACCTCGCCTTGTCATCAAAGAAACATGCTAATGTAAAATTTCATATGATTGGATTCGTCTGAAATTTCAGATGAATAATATATTTATCGCTTATAAATAATATAATTTGTTATAAAATTTAATATTATTAATATGTCATCTAAAAATTTATTTGTGTATTGAGCTCTGGTAAAAACAAAAACAAAAACAAAAATAAGGAGAGGAAGACGTGTAGAAAATTTGAAGTGGACGAAATATTTCGGTATATTATTGTTTAACCGCGCACACAAACAAAATGTTTCTCTTTCACCTAGGAGCGGACATAATTAGCTAATATCTATATAGAAATCTTCAAGCAACAATATTGGAAGATTAAAAATTAAAAGTAAAAAGAAATTGAGCCATGGTGCATTATAGCTCTTACGGCACGTGCTTGATTTTAAAGTTCCATCCTTCCACCGTTTAAATTATTCCTTCTACATTTACGCCTTCATTAATTTAATCCTTCCACTGCAGCTTCTGCTTGAACCAGATAGGATCATTTTCCCCTTCACAGTAGGCGAACGAATAGTTCTGCATTAGCTAGCTAGCTTAATGACATTTGCCCTGTCGTCATGGTTTTTACGTATAGTTGATACTTAATAATACAGGACGAGCAAGAGAGTAGCTAATAAGAAATAGAAGTAGAGAGAGGAAAAAGATGAGAAAATTGTGGTAGAATAATCAATAATGCAACAAACAAAATATTCATTACACACTGCTAGCTATTACAAACTACATTGAAGCATGCATATGCATAAATCGTAGCCCTACTTACTTAATTAAGACCTCAACCTAACAAAACAGCTTGAAGACACAGAACACTTGAGACAGAGTGAAATGAAATGGCATAAGGACATAACAGAGAACCATATCTAACTCCTACAATACATAATACTAGGGAATAATAGTAATCGCATCCATGCATTTATGAGTTACTTAAGTTTTAATGGAGTGGCCTACACCAGGGCTGTGTCCTGGAGTTGTGGGGCGAAATGCTTCAACGCTTCCCTCCAGATTTCTTATGGATCGAAAGGCAATTGTGGTTTTTGTTGTGTCTTTTGCAGAGTTGGGTAATTTCACATTGCTTTGTCTCAAGTTTCTTCCCTCTACAAAGAGTAGTTCATGGGACAAGACCAACAGTACTAGAAAGAAGAGACAAGTACGAGAGGATTGTGCCATAGCTAAAGGTCGTAGAGGGAATTGGAACTTGGAACAAAAAAGAGGCGAGTGCCTATATGAAGCAATATAATAGTGGAGTGAGATTAGACACTGAAGAAGCTCGCCAGCCTTTGATGGTATTTATAGGAAAACATGACTGAAGTCTCGTGTCAAGTACTGTTCCAAAAATGGCAATAGAGTAAGAATTAGGAGCCAACGGTAAATGGCATCAAAGAAGATTCCATTAAAAATATACTTTGGGCTTTAATTAAATAATGCATGGTCGTGGGGAAGTACAAGGTTTTTAAAATATACTCCTCTGATCTTTAATACAAAACCTATTTAACTGATTTGATTATATTAAAAAAGTTACATAAATTAATTATAAAAATATGACTTGTTTTTTTCTCTAAAACATCACAATCATATTCTTTAATAACCTCTTTCATTTTCTTACTTGATTATAGTTGAAGAAATATCAGTAGGGTTAATTTAGAAAAAAAATAATAAATATTGAAATAGGTCTTACATTTAAGACTAACATCAATTCAATAATTAGATTCTATATTAAGCACCAGAGTAGTATAACATAAAGAAAACAAGCAGCCTTGGGGGCTGTAAGGACCACTAGTTAGTTTGCCACATGAGAGTTTATTAATTTTTAAAACACACACCCCGAAACCATTTTATGAGTTAAAATTAAAATAAAAACAATTGGTGATTTTTCACATTAATAAAGCAAATCAGAAGGAATCTGGCTCGCACAAAAAGTAAAGAGGCCATACCACAGAATTTCTGAGATTTGCGGCTGGGGGCTCAGTACGCAGCTCACCCACATTAATTAACCGAATCTTCAGACTACATCCTTCCATTTGAATGAGCCGTCGCTACGGTTAAAAATTAAGATTGCGATGTTCGATTTCGGATTTGATGTCATACGCAACAAATATGAACATGATATATACTACCTCCTCCTCCTCACCATCATTTATTATGCTGTGATATTAATTAAGCTGTAAATGGAAAGAACAGTAGGAGATGAATGAAACTCATCAACAAAGTGCGTTGGAAAAGTGAAGTAATAAAACGAGTGAGTGATGAGCACTAATAAGTTGCCGCCCACGTTCCTCTGTTTTCATCAAAAGAGCACATAGGCCTGTATACTCTATGTTACTTGCATCAGATTGTCTCTCAACTTGTTATTTAATATCAAACCAGAGCTTTGGAACCACAAATATATCATATAAGAACTCAAAAGGACACCTACGATGCCCCAGCCCATGTTGCAATGCCAGCCATATGTACAATTCCAGCTGTGGCCCTCTATATAGTAATCTCTTGAAGAGCTTGCATGTTTATAAAAATATCATCTCATCACTTCCTAGGATTAGTTTTCTCATATGAACTTCTTAAAACAAATATCGAGGACCCTACGCACTTGATGTTTGAGCTCTATATAAAGGCCACAAGGTAAGTGTCTAGGCAACTCAACCGTCTATTGCAAGCAAGCTCCTTTGTTCATTGAGGCATCCTCCTCTCTTGCTTGCTTAGACACTTTGAGTTCATATCCTTATAATTAAGCTTCTTCCATTTTACTGTTTAGTTCACTCTCTGAAAAACCAAACTGCAAGTTTATCGTTTATCGTGATCATGGCCCAAAACAAGCTTATTATCTCTTTCATATTCCTAACACTCATTTTCTGTCAGACATTCCAATGCATTCATGGAATCAGGAACCTCAAGTCCCAAGGGGACCAAAACCTTGCAAATCATGACCAGAAGAACGTGCACGGTGGCCTTGTGACTCCCAATGAAACCCAGTCTCCACCAACACCTCCGAGCGAGCCGGCTCCAGGTCGTGAGGTCCATGACTTTAGGCCAACCGCCCCCGGCCACAGTCCCGGCGTTGGTCATTCTGCTCACAACTAGCTAGCTAGATAGGGGCACTTGCCCTAAATAGGCTCAGTAGATCCTGTTATTTCAAAAGTGTGCTCGGTTCCAGATTTAGTTTTGATTTCAATGTCATCATCTGTGCATCATGATTGCTCCAAGATTTCACTGATTTATAACTACGTGCTATTTAACGGATACAACTTTCTTCTTTTTCCAAAAGGTCTTAATTTTGTCTCTTTACGAAATAATTATATGTTGATCATATTTCGTTTCTACCCTGTAATGCGTCCGCTCGAACGGAATTCAGAATTAATCACAAACTCACGATTAATGATTCAGTAACGTAATGAATTGGTCATTACACGCCAGATATTGAAAAAGTCAACAGCGTAAATTGGACTTCCCGTGGACAGGTCATTTGTATTTAATATTTTTGGCCCACCTAAACAAGAAGCGTCATGAAAAAGGCGTCCTGAAGAATCGTTTGGCAACTCCTTAAACAGTTCAAAGTGTTGCGCGTGGAAGAAATAAATCGAAATCCTCTGATTTTTCTCATGATGCAAAAAGGAACAACTCTTATTTTATTTAAGAAAAAGAAAGATATAATACCCACACACACACGCGTACGTTATAATGATATCAATTTTTGTCCATAGAAATTTTTTTATTTACTGTCTTCTGTGTTTAATTTCTCTTAACAATTTTTCTGAGTACAAGTGAAGGCTTATGTCTAATTTCCGTTAACAATGTTTTTTTAACTGCGTGTGCATGTAAGTATTGTGTTGTGGTGTGTGTGTGTGTGTATGCATGTATTCTCATGTTACTGTCTGTGTTAACCTCTTGACATCACACTCTAATTATCAGGAACGAGGGGATATAATTTCTCGGGTAAAAATATTAGGACACCAATGAATAATAAATCCTTTTAGTTCCGCTCTCATCACTTTAACCCTATTTATTACCAATGTGGCTTAATTGTAACCATCAAGTAAAGAATAACTATCATCAACATATATACTTTTTCACAATATAACTCTAGTCTCAATAACCTTTTATATGTCAATCAGTGAGCATTATTTTGCTTCCATTCAGTCCGCTATACTGTGTCATATATAACAAAGGTCACCGTTTTAATGCTCTTATGTATATGACAATATACATTTAATATTTGACTTTATGCTACTGGGTTTGCCATAAGAACAATTAATATTGAAGATATATTATTCAATATTATGGAGTAATAAACCATCCTCTTTCTTTTTTAAATAATACTCTCTCTAGTCCTATATATAAGCTTCAATTAACCAAATCACGTTTAATAAACTAGTATTTAAAATTAGTTAAAAATAATAAATAGGTTAGAAATATATTTTTGTTTTCCAAATTTGCCCTTACTTATTGAGAGAGTAAATGAGGCAATAAATAAAAATAATAATGAAAGAGAATATATATAGGTAATATTAATAATAGAAAAAGTGTACTAAATATAGTCAACTAAGGGCAAAATAAGGAGAGAAAAAAGTAATAAATGCTTTGGACAAACTCAAAAATAAAGCTTATATTTTGGACTAAATTTTTTCTAAAAAGTGAAACTTATATATAAGACTGTGGGAGTAATAAAAATTAGAAGAAAGAGTGATATGATGGAGTTCTTGAAGAATATTCCAAGTAGTTGAGCTTTTCAAAGGTGTTGTAACGGTTAGGATCCAATGAAAGGGACCCAAAAGATTCTTCATGTTGGCCCATGCTACTCTAATTTAATTAGTATTGAAGCTTTAATGAAAGTTCTGATTTTAATTAAACGCACACCGCTCGTTCAATACAGCAGAACAGCCTAGCCATCCAAACCAAATAACCTAACCCACTTGGCTGTCTTTATTTGAAAAATAAACAAGTACTCTCTCCTGTCATTATTATAAACTTTAAATAACTAATTTGTTTGTAGATAATAAACTATTAGTTAAAGTTAATTAAAAGCAATGAATAAGTTAGGAATATAGTTTTATTTTCACATACGCCCTTATAATAAATGAGAAAAAGGATGAAAGAGAATGTGTAGGGAAATATGATAAGAGAAAGTATAATAAAAAAGAGAAAACAAATAATTAAGGGTAAAAGTGGAAAAACTGCATTAAATGTTAAGATAAATTCCAAATTAAAGTTTATAAAATAGATCACATCTTTTTCTAAATTTGAAGTTTATAAATAGCACCGGAGGGAGTACACATTAGTGCTTCCATTAATAATTACCCCCTCCATCCCTTTTTATAAGCAATCATGGACTACATTATGCAGATCAAAAATTAGTTAATGACAATAAATAACTAAAAATTATGAGTTTTTTTCTCCAAAACACCCTTATTTTTGGAGAGAAAGAGTATAAGAAAGAGAATTATGAAAGAGAGAGAATGTGTGATACAAAGAGATGATGGTTTAGGAAATAAAATAAAAATATATATTAAGTATTAAAATAAATTATTAATAAAGATAAAAAAATTTACTACAAAAATTTAAGACAACTTATAAATATTATTTATTTTTAGGAAGAAGAAAAAAAAATTAGAAGTTGTTGCTTGTTAAAAAAAAATGTACGGGTGTGTTATTATTTTTTTTTTCCAAAGGCAAGTACAACTTGAAAATAAAAAACTACTCTAAGTCTTTCCTCATCTAAGCATCGCACTCAGGAGGTGGGTTCTGTAAAATAAACAAGTCTTGAGTCTGATGATGAGCTAGTCTAGCTAAAATATCTGCACACTTGATGGTTGACCGAGGTGCATAATTGATGGTGAGATCCCACTTTGAGAAGATCAAATTTCTTAGCTCCGCCACTGTAGGTCGCAAAGGATGGTGTAGACTGCGGTCTCTTGTGATGAGATGGAAGGCTTCTAGCGAGTCTGTATACGCATGAATCTGTTTGAATCCATATTGTTTGCAAATCTGCAGTCCTGTCAATAAAGCATTTAGCTTCGCTGCAGTGGATGGCATGAAGCCCATCTGTTGCTTGAATCCCACGATCCATTCTCCCGTCGAGTTTCAAACCAAACCTCCACCTGTTGCTAGTTGCTGATTATTAACTGACCCATCAGTGTCGAGTCTAACATAATTCTTCAGGGGCCGCGTCCACCTATCATCCATCATGTTCAGTGACCCAAAGAGGCGGTGTTTGAGTTGTCCTTGCTCCGTGTGTTCCATGAGTTGATGAAGCCCCATATGTATTACCTCATTCGGTTGATGCCTGACTCCCTCCAGAACTCCTTTGCATCTGTTTTTCCATAGTAGCCAGCAAACGATGGCAAACACTCTGGTCCAAGGCCATCTGTCAAAACTCCTAGTTCCCATGTCTCTGGAAAAATTCGTCTTTAGCCAGTCCTGCAGATTTGAACGAAAAAATTGAAATAGACAGTTAGGATGAATAATATTAGTCCACACTATTCTCGCATTCTCACAGTCTCTCGGTATGTGTATAGTGTTTTCCTCTCTTAAGCACTCAAAGGGGCACTCCTCACTGGTAATGATTCCTCTCTTAGCTCTGAGTGAATTTGTTGGCAATCTGTCATGGATAACTTGCCAAAGGAAGAATTTGATTTTTTCAGGCATCGCAAGTTTCCAGATCTTCCTCCATATCCCTGCACCTGGTTGTCTGCTTTCCTCAAACACCATTCTGTAGGCTTGTCTAACACTGAAATTCCCATCTGTCGACCTTCTCCACCAGAAGCAATCCTCCTGTTGTTCTACCGGGGGTCTGGTCTTCCTAATTACTTCAACTATGCCTTGCGGGAGATATTGGAGCATTTCCTGAGCGTTCCAGTCACCATTGCTCATAATGAAGTCTTTGACTTTGGCTTGGGACTTGATCCTGTGGAGATTCCTTTCCACATAGTATATTAGTGGTTCTTCTAGAGGGGTCCAGATGTCCCACCAAAAATTAGTTTGTCCACCACTATTCACCTTACGACCCACCGCCTGGTAAAACTGTTGCCAAACGGCTACTATGCTCCTCCACACCCACGAGGAATTAGCCTTTTTCAAGACTATAGGATGAATCCCGTTGCCGCATCCATACTTGTTTTTTAGGCACTGCACCCACAGAGCTTCCGGTTTCGTGAGTAGACCCCAGCACAACTTCATGATGAAAGCTATATTTTGGCACTGAAGATCTTTAATGCCCAGACCTCTCGCTCTTCTAGTTTGTTTAATTTGATTCCATGAAATTAAGTGCATTTTCCTCCCCTCTTGCTTTTGATTCCACAGGAAATTTCAGCTGCACTTCTCAATATCTTTGAGGACACCTTTTGGTATTATTATAGTTTGCATCTGATAGGTAGGTATAGCCGACAGCACAGATTTAATCAGCATAGTCCTACCTGCCATGGTGAGGAAGCGGCTCTTCCAATTTGAGAGTTTCCTTTGAACACGTTGAAGCATAGGGGAGAAAGTCGCCTTAGTAACCCTTCTATGCAATAAAGGTACTCCAAGATATTTCCCCAAGTCAGCCGTTATGCCAATGCCCAAATCACGACTCAGTTCCACAGCTCTATTAAAGCACACGTTACTCGAGAAGAAAACCTTGGATTTTGCTAGATTGATTTTGTGTCCCGACACCTCACAGAAAGTTGCCATGGTATCCCTCATTACTTCAACCTGGTCTCTGGAGGCTTCTGCAAAATGAAAGAGATCATCCGCAAAGAATAGATGCGATATAGTTGGACCGTTTCTTTTCATTCTTATCCCTTTCCACCTTCCTCTATTCACTTCATAAGTTATTAGTTGTCCTAAGCGCTCCATGCAAAGAACGAACAAGTATGGGCTTAGTGGGTCACCTTGTCTTATTCCTCGGGAGGGGGAGAAGGAGTTGGATTCTTCTCCATTCCAAAGAACTTTCATAGATGTTGAGGAGATACATGTCATGATGAGATTCACCATATTTCTTTCCAACCCCACACTACACAAAGTCTCTTCCAATAAATCCCAATCTAATCTGTCATACGCCTTTTCCATGTCAACTTTAATGGCCACAAAACCTTTGCTTCCCTTTTTCGATCTCATGGAGTGGATGGCCTCTTGAGCTATTACTATGTTATCTGTGCTTTGTCTTCCTGCAATAAAACTACATTGTTGCTGCTGGACCATATAGTTCATGATACCCTTCAAGCGGTTTGCAATGATTTTCGTTAGAATTTTAAAGATGACATTGCATAAAGATATCGGCCTAAAATCCCTTAGACAAGCAGGATGGTCAACCTTGGGGATAAGCACAATGTTTGTATTATTTACCTCTCTTATCCGCTGGGGTTGTCTCCATGCATCCATAACAAATTTACAGACTTTAGAGCCTACGTGTTACCATTGAGTATGAAAGAAATGCGCTTGAAGTCCATCCGGTCCTGGGGCTTTAAAAGTGCCCATCAGGAAAGCAGTATTCTTTATTTCCACCTCAGTTACTGTCTGGTGTATACTTTCCCAGTCAGTTGGTGCAATTTGGGGGAAAGCCGTAGGCCAATCAAACCTCCCTGTCACAGTATGATCTTTGGAGTACAAGGTTGCAAAAAATTCCCCTGCCATCTCTTTCAGCTTCTTCTTGTCCGAGATCCAGTTCCCATAATCACCTTGAAGCGCTTCAATTCGTTGTCTTCTTTGCTGTATCGTAGTAGAAGCATGGAAGAATTTGGTGTTTCGGTCTCCCCATTGCAACCATTTACATCTTGATTTTTGGAACCATATGAGCTCTTCTTGCGCTACCAGTTTGCTATGTTCTTTCCACAATTTCTGTTCAAGTTTGAATAGCCCATTAGTCACACTATTCTGTCTAGCTCTGTCAATTCCTTCCAGACGACGAATCACCTGTTTCTTCTTCTTCATGGTGTTACCAACGACAGTGTCATTCCAACTCAGAGTTGCCTTTTCAAACTTCCTTGCCCCCTCACACCATTCCACGTTATCCCATGAAGAACAGACCACCTCCTTAAAGCTTTCTTCCAAGGCCCAAGCTAACTGGTACCTAAATAGCCTTCTTGCATACTCCCCTTGAGGTGTTCTTTGCCCGTCGTTTACGACAATGATCCTGTGATCAGACTTGTATTTAAGATTATGACTGGCTTTGCTTTGTGGATGTTCTGTTTCCCACTTTAGATTGCCAAAAGTCCAGTCTAGGCGTTCCTTGACTCCTTTCTTCTCCCATGTGAATTTTTCCCCTTCTATTGGCAAAGCAAACAATTCAGCTTCTCTAATACAATCCGCAAAATTTTTCATAGCTCCATGGTTCGCAGGGGATCCTCCCATTTTGTCAGTTGTGTCAAGGAAGGTGTTGAAATCACCAATTACCAGCCATGCCTCCTCTGTAGCTTCCGCAATTGCCTTAAGAGAGAGCCAAAGTGGTATTCTTTTCTGGGGGGAGGTTTCGCCATAAACAAAGGTCGCAAAGAAAGAATTATTATGCTTCACATCGACTATCTTGCAGTGAACGAATTGGGTGGAGGAACAAATATAATTCACATGCATTGAGTCTTCGTTCCATAGGACCCAAATGCCTCCAGCAAAACCTGAAGCTTCTAATCTAATCCAGTTACTGAACCCGAGTTTTCTAATTACCCCCTCAGCTCTAGTACCACTAATTCGAGTTTCCATTAGGCAAAGGACATCAATTTGCAACTTATAAACAATGTCTTTGACGGTGTAGGGAAAGCAACGATTCCCTGCCCCTCTACAATTCCATGAAGCTACTATCATAGGTAACTGACAAAGGGAGGAAAAAGTTGGCTTACTCGATCGAAGGATCATCATCCATCCAGGTGGGATTAACTGTCTCCTGAAGTATCTTGCGGACTACTGGTGATTCCCCCGCTGTAATTTTCCCGTTGATGTTTCCCTCTTCTATTTCCCTGTCCCCTTTTGAGCATTCACTGTGGTCCCCTTCGACATCCACTTTGGGCCCTTCTATAGTATTTAGACTCCTCCCCCCGTTGTCCCTTCGAGTAGAAGAATTTTATCTCCATTGGCCTGGGCGTTCGGGTTTGGGTTCATCACAGACGAGCCCACCTGCTTTATAGACCCACTAACGATAATGTGTTCCCTTTGGCCCAGTACGGGTGTGTTATTATTTTATCCATTTTAATGTATTTTTATCAGTACTATTTTATCTCTTTCTTTTATGTACTTTTGTCGACGAGACACAGAAGTGCGGGTTCCACAACCCCAGGAGCCAGCTTTTTTCAGATTCTCCAATTTTAATGCCAACTTGGAGTCACGGAGTGAGAGGCAGCGATGAAGCTTGGTGACATATGACAACATTCGACTTTACCACAGTGCATGTTATGGCTCACCATTTTCTTCTTATTTTGAGTATAAAAATTAATTTTATGGAAATTAAATTCATATCATTCATGATTAACTCTAATTAACAAGGTCATCAAGTGGTAGGCCACGGGGATCCTATACACAAGCACGTGGCCATGTCGCTTTTGACTTGACTTTTGACTAAGGCATATTCTTTTTGCACAGTGGCTTTAATTTTTTTGTCTTTTTTTTTGTTTTGTGATTCATATGAAAAGGATAGGAGTGAAAGTTAATATTTTTTAAATGATAAATAAGCGATGTAGTTAAGTTACTCAAGCTTTAAAACCAAAGGCGCCCCTTTTTAGCACTATCATATGATTCTTTTTCTCTCCACCCGCGTATCATATATATAATGCACTTATTAATGTCCAATGATATACTTTTTTTATCATCAATATAATATCAGTGCTTCTTTGCTGTTGACGTGCTAAATAAGGACAGATAATTGTGATAATTATATCTAAATACAAGGATCTTAGTTTGACTTTGTAAACTTTTTTACTACTTCCGATCAAATGAGGTCTTATAATTAAGACCGGAGGTAGCACATCTGAGTGGTTGTAAATTCGGAATGTCATGTTTATAAATAGTATCCTTCACTGTAAATTCAAAAGTCTTTGGTTTTAATTTTCCTCATATATAAATATTCCATGCCCCATATAGGTTTGATGGATGAAAAAGGAAAGGCGTATCTTGATATATAGCATCACGGCTAAAGAAACTAGGTCAAATCTCGTCTCTTATATAATCCATCCTTTTGAAATCATAGCAAGTGATTTCGGCCCTACCAGAACATATATCATAAAGAGTCGTAACAAGTCTTCAAAAATATCATTACAAGAAGCCCTATAATATAAAGAAATGTTTTCCTTTACCTTCAAGTTTGCGGCTACACAAGGATAAAGATTTTGGAGATTGAACGGAAGCCATTCACTTATATATAACATTAATAGTACACCTCTGTAAGTGGAGAAGGTGCAGGAGATCGAATCTCCATGCTCTTGGGTCCATTTTGATGGTGCACTACTCGATCTGCTATTCTTTATCAGATATTATGGGAGTTTAATTTCTCAATGGCTTCTCCCCACCATGAAAGGCCATTATGCCGCCAAGGACGATTTGAGCTCCGGCCTTCAAGCTTCCACCCTCGGTTTAATTGACTTTGTCCATAATTAACACTTGTCTGTGTCGTACTTGCGACTTTGAGAGTTTGTGACTACCCAATTAATTATCAGATACTTCTTACTTACATATCGAATCACCAAATAAAGAAAGACAGGCCAGTACAACTGAATAAGAGGTGCAGATCAAAAGAGAGATATAAATGAAGTATAAAATAGTCAATCGTTGGGAAGATTTCCCATATAATTATGCAAAACGTAAAACTCACTCGCATGAGAGACCAGTCTTAGTGGAAGCTAGATTTCACAAACGGTCCACATTAATTTGGAGGTGGGATACACTCCACACATTTAGTCAACCGACATGATTAATTATAACTTAAAAATATCAACAGGACATGTATATAGTACTCAACCGAGATTATAAATACCCTAAGATCCCAGAACTTGTCAAAACATCATCTGGATTCACTTTTATTTCCCTAAACCCTAAGCCTTTCCCATTACGTACTCAAACAAAACCTTGAAGCTTGTTTCAATTCTTTACTTATGGGTAAGGCCATTCTCAAATATTTAGCTGCAGTTCTCATGCTAATTGCTTGCTATGAAGTTGATATGACTCAGGGAAGGCAAATAAAGGCATTGAAGGAACACTTTCGGAACAACAAAGACACTATCTTTTATAGTAATGTTCCTACATCACCGGAGCTGGTTGTGGACTCACCAAACCACCATGTTAATGCAATCTCTAAGGATGCAAATGGAGGCATAAGTGCTTATCGACCAACAACACCAGGAAACAGTCCCGGGGTTGGTCATCGAAAATTTGGAGTGGAAAATGAAGATATAAAAGCAAAGGAGGGAATTCAGAGTCATCCAGATGTTGAATATTCTTTGGCTGAAGGGTCTAAAACTGATTTTCGACCTACAGACCCAGGTCACAGCCCTGGGGCAGGGCATGCTTCTCATCAAAACAAGAATAATGGAGAGGGAGGACGGGTGTAGAATCAGTTAGGTAATTAATTAATTGGGTCTTCGATAAAATTAGATGTTGCATGTGCTTGAATTAATGTGTCTGTGACGTTTTCAATTTCGTTATGTATTTTCTTTTTGACCAGAGAATCTCGTTATGTATTAGTAGCACGCTTCTCGTATTCCTGCATGTTAAACCATGCTAGGCGTCATTTCAGACTCTATTATGTTTTCCACATATGGAAAATAAAATACTGTTCTTGGTATTTGATAGATATTGGTGTTGTTGTAATTTAATGTGTGGTTCGTCATTTTAAAACATATGTAACAGTTTAGTGAATGTCTGATCATCCATAAATGATAGATTATTTTTTAATATATCCATTTATGTCTAAATAACAGAATCAACTAACTAGTAACAAATGCACTAATATAATTACAATATCATAATTGATTATATATAACCTATTTAAAATTTTGAATGAAGCAAGATTCACTCAAAATAATTACATTTCTGGAAATATGCTAGAATTAATTAATTCTAGCATATTTCCACAATATTTAAAAAATAATTTACTATTATTTATGATTTTATTTAATAAAATACAAGAGGTGGAAGGAAATAGAATTATAGTACTCTCAGGGACAAATTTACTTAGTGCAAATTTTATAAGTTTCAACTTCTGGCCGCAATAAGTATATTGTATAAACAAATTATGATTTGATTTGCCAGAAATCAATAAGATTCGGGTTCACCAAGGCATAATAAATTTTCAGCAGTTAAGATGGTTTAGCACTAGTCCTTTTTTTTTTTCCTTGTAAAATATACAAGTACCTCCGTTTTCTAATATAAATTGATTAATTAAGAAACATATCCTCTTAGTACTTTAATTGATGAAAAAGAAACAAAGAATGAAAAGACGCAAAAGTGCTTTGAGATATTCTCAGTGTCTGAAGAATCTCGGAAAGGAGTCAGTGACTTCCAAAGTTGCAGTTCATAAAAAGTGCAAAAGGAACTGCTTAAAATATTGATAAATACTGCACACTTAAAAAGTACGGTTAAATTAAGAATTTATCATAAACAAAGAATCAAGTTGATGTACGAGAAAACTAGTGAACTAATATTTAATTAGCATAGTCACTTTTAAAAAAGTCCAAGCTAAGCCGAATCATAAGGCAGCGCGTGCTAGAAGTCGATCGTGAATTTTCGGGTGGGAAGCACTTAGCTGTGTTTTAAATGAGAACCTATCAGCAATCCCCAGTTGCGAAAAATGCGGCTGATATATGCAATAAGGTTTGTTAGTGGTTCAAATGCTAAGTTGATACGAGAATCTTGTTCATGCCTATTCTCAATTCTGCCATGCCATATGGATTTTGATGATAAGAAAGTACTGAAGTTTTAATTATTTATAATATGCTCGTATTCTATATTAATGAGAATTTTACTGGATATCTGTACGTCAAAAGAAAAATAGAGAACATATTCGTGAAATACAAGAATACAGAAACAACCACCGCGTAAACCATGAAGGAAAATTCAGATGCTTGGGCGCTAGGTTGTTCTTGAACATTATATTGATATATATATATATATATATATATATATATCTGTGTGTGTGGCTCTCGAGTAGTTGAATACGTGACTGAACAACATATATTCCTTGGCAGGGAGGTGTTTGGTAACATGAAAAACTAAAAAGCACTTTTCCTTAAAACGAGATAAATTCCTTTACATATTTACTTCGTATATCATAAAAATACTTTTAAAACCATAGTTTGGTTTTCATCCAAATGCCCCCTAAGTTTTTCAATGTAGAACCAGCATATTTTTAATTTATATTGGATTTGACACTAATTCCTTTCAGGTTGGGAGCAATTAAGAATTAATCCACCTATTAAATGCGATTCTCAATATTCAAATTTGGGTTTTTTTTTCCCCTTACAGGGTGGGTCCGCTACTGTCACAATCAACATCTTGTTAGTAGACTAATTATTTACTGAAGAATGGTTTGCATCATGTTAGCTGTCTGGCATTATTTCCCTTAATGAACTGCCCTAGCTACATGCAGCCACGTGGATGAGTCCATGCCTATATAAAGCAATATATATGTCCCTATAGATGGATTCGCCGGCGGTTCTATTTATATATATATATATATATATATATATATATATTACTTTATCTACATTCGTTTTCTTTTCGACGCAAGCAGAACTCGTAATGTCAAAAAACGAGGTCATTCATATGCAAAAGCAAAACCCATTAGTCTAGCCCTGTCATCGAAGAAACATGCCATTGTA